CCCCTGAGCCTTTGACCACTGAGCTCGGGCAATGGAGCCAAGGCCGGGGGCTGCTTCCTGGGCGGCGCCGTCCCGGCAACAGGCTGAAGCAGCACAGGAGCCCACGGAGAACAAAGGGGTGCCACAGGCCAACCTGCTGAGCTCCCAGGACAAGGAGGAAGAAACCAAAGAAGTTCTCAATGTGAAGAAATCAAGTGAGAGCAAAAAATAGTAAAATTACTTAAGAAAGAATACAAAGAAGATCTTGAAAAATCAAAGACTAAGTCAGAACTCAACTCACCAGCCAACATTGCAACATAAATGCGTTTTAAAAAGAAAAAAAAAGGACAGAATGTTGGAACAGCGACGGCCAGGCCTAGAGTGGCCAGGCACAAGGCAGAGGCAGCCAGACCCGGAGCAGCAACGGCCAGGCCCCAGAACAACAGCAGCCAGAACCAGAGCATCAACAGCCAGCACTGGAGTAGCCAGACCTGGGGCAGTGGCAGCCAGGCATGAGGCGGAGGCGGCCAAACCCAGGGTGGCCAATCCAGGAACACCCAGACCCGGAGTGGCCGGGCCCGAAGAAGCCGGGCCCAGAGCAGCCGGGGTGGGAGCAGCCAGACCCAGAACAGCAGTAGCCAAGCCCAGAGCATCCAGGTCAGGAGTGGCCAGGCTCGGAGCGGCCGGGCCCGGGGCAGCCGGGCCCAGAGCAGCCGGGTCAGGTGCGGCCAGGCCCGGAGCAGCAGCTGCCAGGCTGGGAGCGGCCAGGCCCGGGGGAGCAGGCGGGGCTGGTGCGGCCAGGCCCGGAGCAGCGGCTGCCAGGCTGGGAGCGGCCAGGCCCGGGGGAGCAGGCGGGGCTGGTGCGGCCAGGCCCGGAGCAGCGGCTGCCAGGCTGGGAGCGGCCAGGCCCGGGGGAGCAGCCGGGTCGGGTGCGGCCAGGCCCGGAGCAGCGGCTGCCAGGCAGGGAGCGGCCAGGCCCGGGGGAGCAGGCGGGTCGGGTGCGGCCAGGCCCGGAGCAGCGGCTGCCAGGCTGGGAGCGGCCAGGCCCGGGGGAGCAGGCGGGGCTGGTGCGGCCAGGCCCGGGGCAGCGGCTGCCAGGCTGGGAGCGGCCAGGCCCGGGGGAGCAGGCGGGGCTGGTGCGGCCAGGCCCGGGGCAGCGGCTGCCAGGCTGGGAGCGGCCAGGCCCGGGGGAGCAGGCGGGTCGGGTGCGGCCAGGCCCGGAGCAGCGGCTGCCAGGCTGGGAGCGGCCAGGCCCGGGGGAGCAGGCGGGGCTGGTGCGGCCAGGCCCGGAGCAGCGGCTGCCAGGCTGGGAGCGGCCAGGCCCGGGGGAGCAGCCGGGTCGGGTGCGGCCAGGCCCGGAGCAGCGGCTGCCAGGCTGGGAGCGGCCAGGCCCGGGGGAGCAGGCGGGTCGGGTGCGGCCAGGCCCGGAGCAGCGGCTGCCAGGCTGGGAGCGGCCAGGCCCGGGGGAGCAGCCGGGTCGGGTGCGGCCAGGCCCGGAGCAGCGGCTGCCAGGCTGGGAGCGGCCAGGCCCGGGGGAGCAGCCGGGGCTGGTGCGGCCAGGCCCGGAGCAGCGGCTGCCAGGCTGGGAGCGGCCAGGCCCGGGGGAGCAGGCGGGGCTGGTGCGGCCAGGCCCGGAGCAGCGGCTGCCAGGCTGGGAGCGGCCAGGCCCGGGGGAGCAGGCGGGTCGGGTGTGGCCAGGCCCGGAGCAGCGGCTGCCAGGCTGGGAGCGGCCAGGCCCGGGGGAGCAGGCGGGTCGGGTGCGGCCAGGCCCGGAGCAGCGGCTGCCAGGCTGGGAGCGGCCAGGCCCGGGGGAGCAGGCGGGGCTGGTGCGGCCAGGCCCGGAGCAGCGGCTGCCAGGCTGGGAGCGGCCAGGCCCGGGGGAGCAGGCGGGTCGGGTGCGGCCAGGCCCGGAGCAGCGGCTGCCAGGCTGGGAGCGGCCAGGCCCGGGGGAGCAGGCGGGGCTGGTGCGGCCAGGCCCGGAGCAGCGGCTGCCAGGCTGGGAGCGGCCAGGCCCGGAGCAGCAGCAGCCAAGTCCAGAGCAACTAGGTCGGGAGCGGCAGTGACCAGACCCGGAGCAGCTGGTTGTGGAATGAACCAGAGCAACAGAGGCCAGGCCCTGAGCAGCCAGGCCCAGAACAGCTCGCTCCTTGCCTGCCCCTGCCCCACGGCTGCTTCTCAGACATGGCTGGAAACTTTCGTGGGAACTTGAGGGTCTGCTGAATCAAGTGATGAAGGCTTAGATCTGGATGTGTTGAGTTAGTTTAAGACTGGGGTGTTGATCTGTGAGTGCCTTGGGTGGGGCCTGGATGAGGCTGGTTGACCTAGTGGGAAATGTCTTTTGTGTGAAGTGTATCATTGGGCATGTGGAGGTATTATTGATATGAGAAAATGCTAAGTAACTGATTTACTATCTGAAAAGGGATTTACTATTGGGGAAATTGAGGGAAGAAGAGACTGAACATAAACTGCACCTATGGATGAGGACAATGGGGAATGGGGGGGGGATGGAGGGTGGGGTGGGAACCTGGTGGAGGGGGGAAGAAATGAGGAACCTTTGTAATAATATGAACAATAAAGATTGATTTAAAAAAAAAAAAAAAAAAAAAAAAAAAAAAAAAAAAAAAAAATAAAATTTTATTGGGGAAAAAAAAAATTTATTGGAATACAGCCATCCCGTTTATGTATTGTCTATAGCTGCTTTCATCCAAGAATTGCAAAGCTGAATTCTTGGGACAGAGATCTATGGTCTGCAAATCCTAAACCGCTTACTACCTGATTCTTTAAAGAAAAAGGTTGCCCACCCCTGATGTGGGTAATCATATCATATGCAAATAATGACAATTCTGTCTCTTCTAAATGCATTCTCCTTATTTATTTAGAAATGAATGGCATATCCAATAAAAAAGGGAATAGTATAATAATAGAAGGCACCCATCTTGGAATGCTTTTATTATTTTATCATTAAGTCTAATATTTACTAGAAGTTTTTGAAGATACCCTTCACTGAGTTAAGAACATTTTCAAAGCTTAAAATTTTAATTTAAAAGACTGTACTTTATTTTAAGATTAAGTCCTTCCCATCTTTTACTGCGAAATAGTAATAGAAATACAAAGTAGTTGTTTTAAAAAATATCTTCACATTGTAAAATAAAAGCTGACACGCCGAAACCGGTTTGGCTCAGTGGTAGAGCGTCGGTCTGCAGACTGAAAGTTCCCGGGTTCGATTCTGGTCAGGGCATGTACCTTGGTTGCGGGCACATCCCCGGTAGGGGGTGTGCAAGAAGCAACTGGTCGATGTTTCTCTCTCATCGATGTTTCTAGCTCTCTATCTCTCTCCCTTCCTCTCTGTAAAAAATCAATAAAATAAATAAATGTCCAATCTTTAAAAAAATAAAATAAAAATAAATAAAAGCTGACAACCATAAATTAGGTCATGAAATCTTAAGTCTAGGGAAGACTAGGTTAAATTTTAAAAAGACTACAGTGACATTTATAGCAGAAACTCTAAGAGGGGGTCATCTGGCATATCTTTTTCTTACTTAAAATTACTGTGTTTATGTATGTAAAGTGGCAATACACACTAGTGGGTAAATGGCAGAGAACATGGGCTTGTCTAGACAGGCTTGGGTGGGAATTCTACAGGACACTTCCCCTCCACCCAGGGAGCTGGGAGAATTTAGGAGTTATTTAATTTCTCCAAGCCAGTTTCCTCCTCCTTAAAATGGAATAGTAGTAGCAGCCACTTTATAAAGTTGTCCTCAGGATTAAATGACTTAAAACACACATAGCACTTTGTAAAATATCTGGTCAATTTCAAGTGTTCAATAAATGTTAGGTGCAATTGTTATTTTATGTATTCCTGACATGTGTATAATTCTTTATCACTTAATACATTCAGACAGGGCCATACTTTGAACTTTTGTAAAAACCAAAGTAGGTATCTCAAGTTAATAATCTAAAGGAAGAAACAAGAATCATTTAGTTATGATGGGGTTAATACTAACAAATGGATCAGTAGTATACTATCTATATATATAAAGCCTAAGCAACCATCACAACTGAATGGACAACCAAACAGGCTGCATGGGGTAACCAGGCCCACAGGGGAGGTAGTTGGGGCAACCAGGCTGGCAGAGGGGTAGGGGGGGCAATGAGGGGTGACCAGGCTGGCAGAGGAGAGCAATGAGGGATGACAAGGCAGGCGAGGAGCAGTCGGAGGCAACCAGACAGCAGGCGAGCAGTTAGGAGCCAGTGGTCCAAGATTGTGAGAGGGATGCCCCAGATGAGAGGGTACAGGCTAGGCTGACGGGATTTCCCCCATCCGTGCATGAATTTCATGCACCAGGCCTCTAGTATTAATATATTTATACAAATATATTAAGCTAATAAATATATAATTTGAGGAAATATTTAGCTATTTTGATTGTTCCATATTATTATTTTCCTTCCAGTTGTGTGTGTGTGTGTGTGTGTGTTGTACCAAACAACTTACAAATATGGATAAAACACAAGGAAAACAATTAGACAGGGCAAAAATAAGATCAAGTATGTGTTCTAGCATTTTGGAAAATGCTAGATATAATTTTGCTAAGAATGGAATAAATCAGTATGGAGTTGGGAATAAATATCTCCATTCCCCTTTAATTACACACATTTCATGAAGGGAATAACATTTCAGAAAGACTCTTAAAAAAAATAGGCAAATGTATAAAAACTTCCACAAAAACAGAAGAAGCAATTGGAGAGAAGTAGCCAGAGAGTATGACCAGGAGATACACATGGTAAATTAGGCCAGAAGAGGCAGACTGTAAATAACAAACTTTCAAAAAGGGGAACAAAGAGTTTTTGAAATAAAAAAATGGATACATTAGCAGAAAAGTTACAACGAATAACTTAGGCAAAATATTCTTGAATCCTTAAGCATGTACAACTATTACAGTTCTTAGTAATGGGTAAAAATTGAATCTAAAATTCTACATTTTCTAAGCTTGGATCCCAAAGACCAGTAAGAATTTACTTACTTTACTAGAGCAGCAGCTTCAGGAAGTACATCAGCAAATGATTCACGGAATATGATTGCGTTTTTCCTTTTACAGTTCTGGATGACATCATTGGCAAGGTAAAAGAGATTCAAACGGTGGGGATAGGCAGCTAGAGATGATAAAAGGTATAAATAAAACCAAATTAGTCCATTTATACTTAGTTCATTTTTTTCCAAATACAGTCTTCTTAAACTGCTATTGGATGGATGGATGAACAGACAAATGAACTAATATGATCAACCATCTGAACCTAGTATCTAAAAACCTTGACTGCATCAGGTTAAGTTTTTGTTCAAGCTCCTCCTTGAGTAGAATTCTTTATAGATGCTTGCTACTAAAAACCTCATTAACTCTGGAGAAGCTAAAATTAAAAAACAAAAACAAAAAAAAACCGCTCTCCCAAACATTTGAAAAGATAAAAAATTGAGTAGAAGCAGCTCAACTTGTTGCAAAAACACCAGGTTTACTGGAAAGAGGATGGGCTTTTCTAGAATACAATCAGAATGTGACCTCAGGCAAATTCCTTATAATAGTAGACTCCTTTCATCAGCCAGTCCAGACACCACTCAGATTCATATAAGTCCTCCCATCTGCTGGAAAAGAGGTTCTGCTGCTACCTGCATCACCAAGAGAAGGACCTGGGAAATGCGTAAATGACCCCATAAAACGCACCTGAGTCAACCTTCTTCAAAGGCCCAATCAACTTACTATCTGGAATCTTAAGCAATGTCACCCCAAATTTCATTGTTATCCTGGACAATTTTAATATCCACGTGGATGATCCATCATATTTTCTATTAATAGTTTCCCAATTTCTTGATCTCAAATTCAGTATCCTCCCAGAACCACTCTTTTGTTCTTCACTTTCATTAGAATCTCAGTTCTTTTTTCTCTACAGCCTCTTCCAGTATTCAAATTCTTTCTCCATCAATTTCAGAGTTTCTGACCTATTATTTTTTTTTTAAAATATATTTTATTGATTTTGTACAGAGAGGAAGGGAGAGAGATAGAGTTAGAAACATCGATGAGAGAAAGTCATTGATCAGCTGCCTCTTGCACACCCCCTACTGGGGATATGCCCGCAACCAAGGTACATGCCCTTGACCGGAATCGAACCTGGGACCCTTCAGTCCCCAAGCCGACGCTCTATCCATTGAGCCAAACCGGTCTCGGCCTGACCTATTATTAAAATAACTCTTTTATCAAAACCTTCATCATAGTTCCCCTACCTGCCTAAAATTTAGCCTTTCTAGCACATGCACTCAACAAAATCTTAAATCTGGATCGAACTGAAGAATGCCTTCACCACAACTTTATTTTCACTCCTGTGTTCTGTTGAAGAAAAATCCTATCACCATGAAGATTGAAACCATATAAATTCAAACTTCTTCAGCGGGGCCCTCAATGCTACAGTCCTTCCACATGTCTTAATCAGCATTTTCCCTCCTTTATTGTAAAAGCTATTTCAAATTTCTGCCATTCTTGTCAAGCCCTCTATGTTACCACATTCCTTTCTCACTCTCAGGAGATAAAACTTATATGCTATTTCACAGAGAAAGCATAAATCATCAGATGGAAATTATGTTCTCTCAAAAAAAAGTTATCCACATTTAAACTCATCCAAATCAACTTAACCTGAGTCAGGTAAGGTCATTCAGAATCAGGAATTTGCAAGACCTTTAATGTACTCGCTGTCTTCACTTTAACTCTATTAACTCCACACTTATAGAATGACAACTTCACAGGTTGTTATAAAAATTAAATAAATCACTGCCAGGCTGGGAGCGGCCAGGCCCGGGGGAGCAGGCGGGTCGGGTGCGGCCAGGCCCGGAGCAGCGGCTGCCAGGCTGGGAGCGGCCAGGCCCGGGGGAGCAGGCGGGGCTGGTGCGGCCAGGCCCGGAGCAGCGGCTGCCAGGCTGGGAGCGGTCAGGCCCGGGGGAGCAGGCGGGTCGGGTGCGGCCAGGCCCGGAGCAGCGGCTGCCAGGCTGGGAGCGGTCAGGCCCGGGGGAGCAGGCGGGGCTGGTGCGGCCAGGCCCGGAGCAGCGGCTGCCAGGCTGGGAGCGGCCAGGCCCGGGGGAGCAGGCGGGTCGGGTGCGGCCAGGCCCGGAGCAGCGGCTGCCAGGCTGGGAGCGGCCAGGCCCGGGGGAGCAGGCGGGGCTGGTGCGGCCAGGCCCGGAGCAGCGGCTGCCAGGCTGGGAGCGGCCAGGCCCGGGGGAGCAGGCGGGTCGGGTGCGGCCAGGCCCGGAGCAGCGGCTGCCAGGCTGGGAGCGGCCAGGCCCGGGGGAGCAGGCGGGGCTGGTGCGGCCAGGCCCGGAGCAGCGGCTGCCAGGCTGGGAGCGGCCAGGCCCGGGGGAGCAGGCGGGGCTGGTGCGGCCAGGCCCGGAGCAGCGGCTGCCAGGCTGGGAGCGGCCAGGCCCGGGGGAGCAGGCGGGTCGGGTGCGGCCAGGCCCGGAGCAGCGGCTGCCAGGCTGGGAGCGGCCAGGCCCGGGGGAGCAGCCGGGTCGGGTGCGGCCAGGCCCGGAGCAGCGGCTGCCAGGCTGGGAGCGGCCAGGCCCGGGGGAGCAGCCGGGTCGGGTGCGGCCAGGCCCGGAGCAGCGGCTGCCAGGCTGGGAGCGGCCAGGCCCGGGGGAGTAGCCGGGTCGGGTGCGGCCAGGCCCGGAGCAGCGGCTGCCAGGCTGGGAGCGGCCAGGCCCGGGGGAGCAGGCAGGGCTGGTGCGGCCAGGCCCGGAGCAGCGGCTGCCAGGTTGGGAGCGGCCAGGCCCGGAGCAGCAGCAGCCAAGTCCAGAGCAACTAGGTCGGGAGCGGCAGTGACCAGACCCGGAGCAGCTGGTTGTGGAATGAACCAGAGCAACAGAGGCCAGGCCCTGAGCAGCCAGGCCCAGAACAGCTCGCTCCTTGCCTGCCCCTGCCCCACGGCTGCTTCTCAGACATGGCTGGAAACTTTCGTGGGAACTTGAGGGTCTGCTGAATCAAGTGATGAAGGCTTAGATCTGGATGTGTTGAGTTAGTTTAGGACTGGGGTGTTGATCTGTGAGTGCCTTGGGTGGGGCCTGGATGAGGCTGGTTGACCTAGTGGGAAATGTCTTTTGTGTGAAGTGTATCATTGGGCATGTGGAGGTATTATTGATATGAGAAAATGCTAAGTAACTGATTTACTATCTGAAAAGGGATTTACTATTGGGGAAATTGAGGGAAGAAGAGACTGAACATAAACTGCACCTATGGATGAGGACAATGGGGGATGGGGGGGGGGACGGAGGGTGGGGTGGGAACCTGGTGGAGGGGGGAAGAAATGAGGAACCTTTGTAATAATATGAACAATAAAGATTGATTTAAAAAAAAAAAAATAAATAAAAAAAAAAAAAAAATAGAAAAAAAAAAAAAAAATTAAATAAATCAATGTATATGGACAGGTGGCTCGGTTGGTTGGAGCTTCATTCCATATACCAAAAAGCTGAGGGTTTGATCCTCAGTCAGGTGCATTCAGGAGGTAACCAATCGATGTTTCTCTCTCTCCCCTTCCTCGCTCTCTAAAATAAACAAAAACATTTTAAAAACAAACAAAACAATGTGTATAAAGCACTGAGAGTGCTTATTACACAGAAAATGGAATGCTACCAGCATTATCATCCACTTTCATGCCTTTAACTACTACCACCTATTATCCATGACTCCCATATCCATACTTTTCAAGCCCGGATTTCCCTTTCTCAATCAATGCTAAGTCTCAGAGGCACCTTGAGCTTGATTTTTCAATATTTTACTAATATTAATCTTCCTCCTCTTCCATCTATTACTCTTCCTGTATTTAGCCAGAATTTTAGTAATCAATTTTTTAAAACATGTTTTATTGATTTTTCACAGAGAGGAAGGGAGAGGGATAGAGTTAGAAACATCGATGAGAGAGAAACATCGATCAGCTGCCTCCTGCACACCCACCACTGGGGATGTGCCTGCAACCAAGGTACATGCCCTTGACCAAAATTGAACCTGGGATACTTCTGTCCACAGGCTGACGCTCTATCCACTAAGTCAAACCAGTTAGGGCAGCAATCAATTTTTTGCCGCCTCCTCCTCCTCCCTACCTTTCAGCCCCCAATTGTTAAATCTCTAATTTTGTCTCCAATAATATCAAATTTATCCATCTTCTCCTTCTCTATCTACCATAGCTCTTTGTTGGGTTCATCACCTTTCACCTGGACTACTACTTCAATAGCCTCCTAACTGGTTATTTTGCTTCTAGATTTGACCACCCAAAATTTATTCTCTACAATGAATTGCTAAATTCATCTTCTAATATGCAAAACTGTCCAGTTATTTCTGATATCAAATCTGCCAATGATTTCCAATTGCTGAAAATGCCCAAATACCTTAGGCTCCAAATACCTAAGGTATTACTGAAAATGCCCAAATACCTTAGACTCCATTTATGATCTGGATCTCACATCCTGTTCTAGTCGCATCTCTTTCCCTTCAAAATCAAATTTTATCTTTAATGAATTATAATTCCCTGTCTTTCAGAATTTGCCTTTTCTGTAATCCCTCTGAATAGTCTATAGTGTTTTCCACTTATCCACAGGAAAACATCCAAAATTTTAAATTTAATCCATGTCCGATTCTGACCCTCCATCTCATTTCTACTTCTGCCCAAAACAAATAATCTCCTACGATGTTACTGCCACTTTCCCCCAATGTAAACCTCTTTTAGCCAGAGGACTAAGAAAGTTAGAAGAAATAAGAAAAGTTGGTTGAGGTAATCTGGGAAGATGCCTATGAACTTTTGAGAAGGCCATCCTGAATGTTTTTCAAACCCTCTTATACCATAGTTCTTGCTTACCTGTTCAGCCTCAACTTTGGCCACTCTCACCCTTAAAGCTCCAGTTTGGTGAACAAAACTTTGTTCTCATCTTTGAGCCTCATCCCCTTCCCTCATCTTGTCATCCATTTCAATAGGCTAATCCCTTCACTTTCTTCAAGTCTTAGCTGACGTCTCACATCTTTGATGAAGCTTCCCATGACCACAAGACTAGGCCTTTAGTGAACCCTGAACTTACGGTCAACACTTTCGACACTACAGTGTATTGGTCTGCACCCTCCATTAGAGAGAGT